GAGTCAATACACACAGTGTGCTTAAAACAGTGCCTGGCACACCACAGGTACTGCTTCAGCTTTAGATAGCATAAAGTGTGCTATTCTCTGTCCTCTCTGTCCTGAAACAGCACGTCACACTATGTCAAGATATGGGAATATCAGTGAAGGATGGTGATGTGAAAGGGCTGCATTACTCCCTCTTACATGTGAAGCTACTTGTTGACTCCAATTTTGTGTCCTGAGAACCAAGCACCTCAGGCCTGTTTAGCTGCCAACAGGGTACTCTTCACAATGTCAACAAGGGGCTTAAGCACCCAATGGTCCTCTTAAAGAGTGCCTGCTACCTTCAGCGAAGATTCTAAGCCACTCATTTTGAAAGGAATTCCATGAACATGAGTAGCCTGAACTCATTAGTAGCTCTGTTCCCATTGGTACTGCTAATTGCACAACTATTTAGGCAACAGAGGCCTTGTTTACTTTTCCCCTTCATTCAGCACTGTCATTCGGTGCCTTCAGAAAAGTGCCATGGTGGGTCCACGGTTCTCCAGAGTCTGAGTCTCTATGCACGTGAGGGGATCCTGAAGCATTTTAATTGGGCTAGCATAGCAATAATTCACAATATGAAGATGGGGACAAGGAAGAGAACTATTCTTCACAATTTCTGACCAGAATCACTACAAATGTAGCCAACCCATAATTACTCCAGAGGTGATTATCCAGTCTGTGAGTCAGGCATGCCTGCGGCTACCCATCACTCTCTCTCCCTCTGCACCCTTTCATCCTCTGCAGCTGACAGATGTGAGAAGCAGAGGCACTAATACTAAGGCAAGAAACTTTTGCTCTTAATTAATATCTAAAAAAATGCCAATTAAAGGGTTTTGAGAATGGCTCTGAAATAATCAATTTAATTAACTTCAACTTTCCTTATTCTCCCATCAACATAGATAATCACAAAATAGCAGAACATTTTGAACATTGGCCAGGAAGAGGCAAAAGCAGCAGCCAGCTGACTACAGCTGGGAACGGGCAGCTATTTTTAACAGTACAGGTACATTTTCCAGTCATTTTTTAGTGCACTTTAAACTGACTGCATAATGCTAGCAAGGAAGGGGCTACAGAAAGTGGATGCCAGGAGAGGCCTAAGACAAGGCTGTTCTTCTCCTTATTTGAACTTGCACTTCCCAGTAGGGAGCTGTGCTTTAACTGTACAATGTGGAGTTTAACTGCACCCTGTGGCTTTTAGTGTATAAACAATAACACCTGTGATTTCTGGAAAGTTAATGTGAGTCTCACTAAAAAAGGAAAAGAGAGAAAAGGAGAAAAACAAGAGAGGAAAAAATAAAGACTAGTCAGGCACGTTGGTTCATGCCTGTAATCCCAGAATTCTGGGAGAGCCGGGTGAGAGGACTATTTGAGCCCAGGAGTTCAAGACCAGCCAGGGTAACATAGCGAGACCCTAACTCTACAAAAAAATTTTAAAAAATTAGCTGGGAGTGGCAATACATGCCTGTAGTCCCAGCTACTCGGGAGGATAAGGAGGGAAGATTCCTTGAGCCCAGGAGATCAAAGTTACAGTGAGCCATAACTGCACCACTGCACTCCAGCCTGGGTGACAGAGCGCGATCCTGTCTCAAAAAAAGAGTAAAATAAAAAAAAGACAACTGAATTCCTTCAATGTATGTGAAAGGGTAACATCTGGGTTTCGGGTTTGTTTTATATACACATACATTCTGATTGCCAACACTATGCCTCTCCCCTAAGGAATTTCAAAGGAGACCATCAAACTGTCAGCAGATAATTCACTATTGTTTCCTCAGTAGAGAAGGAAACCTCAGGCCTCCGCCTCTTTCAGGGCTTACTAAAATGTCCACTCTTCATCCCTTGGCTGACCTGCACCAGAAAAAATACTGTAAAAATCCCTATTGAGGAGACATGGGTGCAGATTTCTCCCGGAAAATTTCAGATGAAAATGGCCGCTGCTCTTCCAGAAACCTAGACCAGTTGGCACTTGAACTCTGTTTATGACACTCACAGGGCCCCACCCTGCATTGTGGTTATCTATCCCTTTTTCATTTCCCTTGCTGGTATTAGGAATATGGAGGACCCAGACCATCTCTCACATATGGATGAGTTTTGGCAAGTCACCTAACTCCACCATGCTTCCGTTTTCAACACCTGTCAAATAGAGGTGAGAGTTTACTGCATAGGGTTGTAAAAATTAAATATGAGAATGCATTTAAAACACTAAGAACAATAGAGGTTAGTGGTGATTGTTACAGATAGTTTTTTTTTTTCCTTAAAAGTTCTCAGGACAGAATTAAAATGTTTTCATGAATGAATGAATGAATGAATAAAAGACATTTTAAAAGCATTTTGGATCCCAGCCAATATCACTTCGAGAGAAAGATTCATAATTGAAACATGGATTCAAAAGACTGTGTATATGGGGATGGTCTGAAAATTAAGGGAAAGAAAATTCTGTTAAGTGGACATACACATCAGTATTCAGGAGAAGCCCAGGGAATACGAAAGGAAGCAAAACTTCACAAATCTTTCAAAACAAGAAAGTGAACATCGTGTTAAGTAGCCAGGCCTTCCAAATTACAATGTTGCTGCCCAGTACTCATTCCATAGGCTCTTCTGTTGGATACCCCAGCTCCTGCTATGTGACTTTGTCATCAATATTATATTTGTAGTATATATGACGTGCCTTTTGTCACATGCATCCTTTAATTTGCTTCCCACACCAATGCCTCCGAATCCCCTTTGCTATTCCTTCCATTTCCCATGGCCTCTCTCTGGGCCCTCATTTCCCATTAGTCTCCCTGACGCTGCCAGCAGACCATTCCAAATCCTCCCCTGCCACAGGACAAAAGCTGCACAGATGTGGGGAGAGCTGGCACTGGGAATGCTAACAGCACTGTCATCCTGTCCCAGCAGGATGGTGGTCGGTTCTCTCTGGGACCAGAGGCAGAAAAAGGGGGGTTAAAAAAAGAGAAAAGAAAGACTGAAGACAGAAAAAGAGGGAAGACAAAATAACCCATTGAAATCAAAAAGGAAATGCATGAGTGAGATTTCTATCAGGAAAACCAGTAGGGGGCAATGGGGTAGGCGTGGGGAGAATGAAAACAAAAGAGCAGAGTGTGCAGGGTGGCAAAGGAAAGAAACAACACAAAAGTCCCTTGGAGGGGCAAATCAGGGGGGAGGGAGCGGGCAGAAAATATGGTTGAAAGGAGCTGAAAAGCGGGAACCACCGAGAGGAATCTTAGCTGGAATCCCTGTATCCTTAGTTTCTCTCCCAGTCTCTGTGGAATTGTTAGCTCTTCCTCCCTGAGTCTCTTTTCAACTCTCTAAATGTCCAAATTCCAGTTTTTCATAAAGGAAAGCAGCATGCTGTATACATGAGAGAGGACATCCAAAGGAAGAAGATGCAAGCTGAAAAAAAATTCAAGGCTCCCATGGTGCTTTCAGAACATACCGCACCCTCCTGTTGCACAGCCCCCAGACTGCTTTAAAAGAGCCCACAGAAGAGAAATCAACTGCTGCTTGTTGTGTCTGGGAGAATAACTAATCTCAGGACTCTTATTCAGGTCTCCTCTTGATGGTGGCCCACACTCCTGACCAGGGCCAATGAAGAAGAGGGCAGAGCAGAGGGGAGAGGGGCTCAGGAGTCAGGCTGTGGGAAGCAAATGAAGTGTGAACTCAAGAGCCACAAACAACATCAGTTGTGCACCTAGAGAAGAGCCCATGGATCCAGCAGAACTGCAATTACTAAAGGCATCCTTACAGTCAAGTCTGAACACCTTTTCAGATTTCTGTTGTATGAAACCACAGGACAGACATAAACCAAATCGTAAAAAATACATAAATAAATAAACAAAGGCTTTGAGAGATTTGCAATATTCAATAACCAGGAGGAACGTCTTTCTTGATCTTTGGCAGAGTAAAAGTTTTATTATTATTTTTTTCATTTACATGAATTCAAACTGATGAGACTTACCCACTGCAAATCTGATGCTAATTTAAAACACAATGCCATAATCTGGCATATATCCCTAAATCCCAGACTTACTGAGACCTCTTGGAAAGGCTTTTTTTTTTTTTTTTTTTTTTTGTCAGGTCAGGGTATTCCAGAGTTATCATCATTGTTAAGTTAGGAGATACTATTTCAATCAACAGAGATCACCTTAAGAAGGTGATGACAGTATAGAGAAAGCGTAATGTTCTCTGTACTTGTCCCTGACTTCAAGAACCCTCTAATTTATAGGAGTTTCTATCATCTAAAAGACAGGAATGGTTTTGCTATGATAGTTTTCCATAAAATGCAACAGTTAATATAAACTGAATCAGCAACTAAAGATACAAAAAAAAACAAACACAAGGACAGTTGAGCTGAAGTGTTTAGCTCTTGTGGCATGAAGTGAATTAGGCTATATCAAATGATTTTATATCCACATTTCTGAATAAATAAAAAATATAAGGTAGATGTCAGAATGAAATTGACAATGTCTATGAAGGCTGATAAAAACTAATTTCAATAAGAATCAATTGCATTTGAGTCTTCATCATTCATCTACAGTAGTAAAGTGTTAAAATTGCCATCTATCAAAAATGCAGTGATCCTTGGACTGAACATCATAATAACATTTCATTTGGAAACAAAAGAGATGGATTGTGCTTTCCCATCTCCACAGTCTTTCTCCCTGTGTGATTAAGAGAGTCTGGTGGGGCAGGAAGTATATATAATGCCTTCTGAGACCTCAGGAATTGTTTGCTTAGAAGTGAAGTTAGGATGATTACCGTGACTATTGTGTTTCTTTTCGTGAGCATAAATATTAAGCCAATTAATTTATAACACCTAAGCAAAGCATTGGAAAAATAAGCACCCCAACCCCCTAAAAAAGATTGAATTCCTTTGTGTCCTTCCATTCGGGCAGAGTGGTATTGTGTGACTCAGTCTTTGCAAGAGACACTGCAGGTTGGTGAGAAACTACTGATTTGTACTGGAATGTCAGGTTTTGCTCAAGGCTCTCAGAGAGAGCCAGATGAATTCATGCCAGGTGAAGTAGGTGTATAATGATCTACATTTGGGGTTACAAACACCAAGCCCTGTGAGTATGGATTAATGGTACTTTTAAGGACCCTATTTTTGGAGGCAGGGGAAAGAGAGGAAGTAGAAGAAGCGAAAAGCCACTGTGTCCGGGTGATATCATCCCAGGCCTCATCATTCGTGTCCCTAGGGCGGCTCAGATGAGGAGTTTTCCTGTTTTCATTTTTAGTGTAATCATATTTCAAATATTGCATGGGCTATACTTATGCTAAAAACTTCATTATTGTTATCATCTTTTTTTTTTTTCTTCAAGGGACAAGGTGTGGCTCAGCTACCCAAGCTGCAGTGCAGTGGTACAATCCTAGCTCACTCAATCTTGACCTCCCGGGCTCAGGCAATCCTTCTGCCTCAGGCTCAAGTAGCTGGGACTATGGTCCCACCATGCCAGGCCATCTTGTATGTGTATTTGTGAAATCTGGATTCTTAGGACCCAGAACTGAAGTAAAAATAGAAAAATAAAATTCTAAGGGATTCCAGGTGAGTCAGACGTTTAGGACATTGTGAGAGTGGCGTCATCACTTTAAACTGCAGAGAATGGGACACAGGGAGTGTGGTAGATTAAATATATCCATGAACTATTCACAGCTCCTGCCATCAAACAGTGGAATCTGTTTCCCAGCCTTTTAAGTCTGGGCTGACCCTGTGACTTGTTTTAACCAACAGAATGCAGTAGAGATCAAGCAGAACTTTCCAGCTTAGCTGCAGGATATCCGGCAGCTTCCAGTCTCACCTCTAGGAATCCTAGGACTACCATGCTGTGAAGAAGCTTGGAAAAAAAAAGACCGGGTATTGACAAGGCTTAGGTGTCCTGGCCTCCCAGCCATTCCAGCTGAAAGCCCCAAACATGTGAGATTCCACCTTCAATAAAGCCTCAAAACCAGGAGCTGACTACAGCCTCCTAATGAGACCAAGTGAGACAGTGGATACAGAGAGGATCCTAGGACTAGGAGAGGAAATACTGCTTCTCAAGGAAAGGTAAAAAGATGGGTGGGGGGCAGAGTGTGGAGAGAGAGATTCCTAGATTGTGCTGTCACTCAAATAGATGGCCAGTGTTCTCACCTAACTCCAGAGAGAGGGTAGGTGGGCACCAAATGGCTTAAGGTATCCAAGTAAGTATTCAATGTCTTGGGTAAAGGCCAAACTAAAGAGAGTAAATTGAAAGTGATCAAGAAGACAGGAACTAGGAGAACTTTATGAGCTGAAGAAAAAGAAAGTAACAGTATACATCTAACCCTCACCTGAGCTTTGTGCAGTAGAAATCCTGAGATATTTTCTTATTAAAGGAAAAATAACATAATAGCATTGTGGCTTCACTCTTGCCCAGAAAGGAGTGCTTTTAACTGCAAGGGATTAATTAGCCAGGGAAACAGGAGAAGGAATGATAATAAGCCCCAGACTTAGCACCAAAAATACATCCCACCTACCTAAACTTTCCAAGGCAGGCAGGTTTGGAATTATCCAACCCACCCTGCAAGGAGTAAAGAAATCCTGTAACACAGCTATCCTGCTTTCATGGCTTTTCCTTTTTCTAACCCACCCTTTTTACTGTATTTCAAACCAAGGGTTTAAGGATAATCTTCACAGTGAGAAGGTACTGAAGACAAAGCAAAGGAAGTCTAACGTGACTGATAATCTAGTACCTACTTTGCAAGGACCTTGTGAAGATCAAACGACAGGGTGTGTTCACTATAAGCAATTGGCAAATATGTGCTTGATAAACGGTAACTATGTTATCTATTTGTGGCTTTACCATAGGACTTAACACAGCTCCATATATCTGTTTTAAATTTAATTGTTCACACGATCATATTTTTTTCTTTAGCCTACAATTGCTTGAAAACAGTGACTGTATTTTATTTTTGTGTGTGTACCAGTCTATAACAGGCAGTTCCTGTTAGGCACTACACAAATATTTGTTAAATGAATGAATCAATGAATGGAAGAAGACATACTTGCTGAATTGCATAAAAAGAGGAACAAAAAGGATGTGAATGTTTACTAGTATGCTTACCATCTACAGGCTGAATTTAGGTACAAAAGGAGTCATACACAGGCTGTCAGGCTCAAAGAAACTTTTCCAATCTCTCTGTATACCAAAGTCCAGCAGAATTAGACTCTTTCATTCCTTCTTATTTAAAAACAGCCTAGCTAGGCAGTATTTTTTTCCTCTTTATTCCTGTTCTTTATTCCTAGAAATACTATGAAACATGAGAAATTGAATGTAACAGTTTAGATTTGGTATTCAACAAATATGTTTATGCTTCTTAAGGGTTTTTAGAGGCAGATGCTATAGTGCATGCTACTTTCTGCAAACAATCTAGCACCAAATTAGGAATCCAGTTAGAAAGCAGTCTGGAAGGTTAGTATGATCCGCCACAGACAACACAATAGTACCAGACATTTTCAAAGAGAATAAAGTGTAACTTGGGTTGAAAAGATAAATTAGATCAAACAGGAAAAAAAATGAGAAACTAGAAAGATGGAAAAAATTATCCTCATTAATCCTCACAATGATGAACTACAAATATGGATTAGGTAGGCAATCCCAACCTGTTAATTTACAGAAGGACTCTAGAAAAAATAAAGTGCATGATGCCAGGCTGCATTTATTCTTGTCCCTTATTTTTTAAAAACTAATTAGTCTGAAAAATAGCCTGTAAAGATCTTGGTATGAACATTGTTTCTATTAATTGCTTGGTCAGGATGGCCCATAGGTGTCAGTGGTCTGCAACCACGACTGCCTCAAATGAGCAGGGGAGCCGGCTAAACGTTTGAGAGTATTTCTGCCATTCTGAAGAGTGCCTGCATGAAGGGTGTCTTAGAAAATGCAATGGATTTCACAGATAAGTGATCCTGGGTAGGTTCACTATGCCTACTCACCGTGGTCAAGGATATATTTCACAATCTCCCCGTTGCCGGTTTTAGCTGCGTGGTGAAGGAGTGAACAGTGGTCTGGTCCCTGAATTAGCAGACTGCCTCCATTTTTATAGCTTTCTATTAGCTGCAAGAGAGACATAATGGAAAGAAGCTCAGGCAGAATCCGGAACAAGGATAACAGCTAACTGGTAATAAAATAAGAGTCATGTAGCAAACCACAAATGTTTCTAGCCTCAGAGGACAGAGAGAAAAGTCAAAATGATGAAGTAACATTCCTGGACTGTGTTATCACTCACAGAGATGACCAGGGCCTCTTCTAACTCTGGAGAGAGTCTGTGGGTATTGAATAGGCTAGGGAAACTGAGTCATGGTGAATTACTTTTTTCATTTATTTTCTGAGCACTGGTCCCTATGGTCTCTGTCCCAAGAGAGTGAGGGGTGGAGTGGAGAACAAAAGCATCTTTATGTTGGCTTAGCATTCTCTCGAGTGAAAGAGTAATTACGGCCATAAGCAGGAATAGATTGGTGACTGTAGCTAAGCTCCTTGCCTGTGTCCTTTAGTTTTTCTTTAGTCTCGTGAACCTAAGTACCAAATATCAAAGCAGCTTCTGTTTCTCCTGCATAAGATCACTGCATACAAGTATAGACACATAAGCATGTATCGTGCACGCACACACATGAACACACGTCTGGCTTCGATCTTCACCTAGATCTGCAGCCCAGCCTGCAAACCTTCTGTTAATCACCCAATATATACCTAACAGGCTAGAGATGATCTACAGAATGAGACCCAAAATGATTCAGAAAATGTAGTAGTTTCTACATGAGGGAAGACTGGAGAAGAAAACCAAAATTCTGTAGCCTGAGAATAAGGTGGCTAAATGAGGATATGGTCTAAGTTTATAAAATATTGAACAATACAGAAAACGTGAATGGTCCCTCTTCTCCAAACTGCAGTATATCAGGACAAGAGTGCCTGTGTGAAGCTTTTAATAGGTACTTTTAGGACAAAAGAGAATTAAATAACCCAGCAGGTAATAAGCAAAAGGAACACATTCTCTTTCAAGAAGTTAGATGGCACACATTATAGATAATCAAACATCCCATAAGGTGAAAGACCATAAATGACATACATGCAAAGAATAAGTCCTAGTGTTCTATACCATTGTAGGATGACTCTAGTTAATAATATATTAAACCATTTTAAATAGTTAGAAGGAGGATGTTGAATGTACCCAACATCAAGAAATGATAAATGTGTGAGGTGGTGAATACGCTAATGACCCTGATCTGATCACTGTATATTATAGGTATCAAAACAGTGCTATGTACTCCATGATTATGTATAATCATTTGTCAATTAAAAATACTTTTTTTAAAAAAAGGAATGCAAATTCAGAGTTCACGTCTTCACTCAAATACATCCATAGAATTGTTATCGGCTAGACGCCAGGAATATAAATGTCAGTACAATTCAGTCACTGTGCTGAAAGCCCTCACAGCCCATCGGGGAGATGGGCAAGTAAAGAATTACACTGTAATGGACAGAAACATCACAAAGTTCTCAGAGAAGTGCTAGGGAAGCATGAAGCAGGGGATAGAAACAGAGCCATGGAAGACCTCCCAGGACATGGATCAAAAGCAGTAAGTAGTTGAATGGAGTTAAAGAACATATGAGACTTTCATCCCTAAACTGGGGGCCAGGAGGGCAGGAAGAAGTAGCCAACAATTTTCCACAAAAATCTAAATGGGAATCCTGTTCTATTCAACAGCATTGTCTTAAAATGACACTCCCTTTCTTTGTGGGGAGATTGACAAAGGATAGCGCATGGACCCAGCCAGACCCGTTCAGGGTCAACTGCCTTGATCCTGCCTTCCTGTGCTGTTTCCAGACACCACGAACATGAAGTTGCTCCATGGGCATTTTTCATAGCCCAGTTGTCCAGGAGCTATTTGTGACAGTCTTCATATGAGGGCGGCTCCAGAGATGTTGTGTTCTCTAGTCTCTATCTCTCGCTTTCCTTCTCTTCCTCTCTCTCTCTCGTGCAAACACAAATGCATGTACCCCAGTTAATATTTAATAAATACTGTGCTTTCTACTCAGGAGAAGGAAGCAAAAGAAGGTAGAGAAGAGAAAGAAAGAGGGCACTAATATTTGAGAAGGGAAATTAAAGAAAATATGTAAGAAAGAAAAAGGAAAACCTTAAGCCCTCAGTAAATACTCCATCTCTCAGTAAATAAGGTGTTATTAAGTCATGTTTTAGTCATTTAGGAAAGAATTATAACAGAAAATGAATTAGAATGGTACGAAAATGCTTGCGGTTTCTGTCACTGAAATGACAAAAAAAAAATGAATTACTTTTGCACCAACCTATAATAAGACAACCAGCTGGATATAGTGATTTCCCACATTGCAAATGATTCTCTATTTAAAAGTATGAAGAAAAGTGTGATAATAAACTCAGGGTCCTGGGAAATCAGTTACCTAAACTAAGAGCATACGGAAAATAAAATGGAAGGGTCTCAAACGTACAGTGCTTTGCAAAACTTTCTGCTGTAGAAACTCCCCACCCCTCAAGGGCAGGAATCAATTTTATTCATGCCTTTATTTCCCACAAAACCTAATGGAAGGCCTTGCATGGAGTACAGGAGGTATGGGCTTAATCCCACTGGTAAGAAACGGCACTGAACTCATCAACATAGTGTAATAAATTGCAATCTAGTGCAACGGTGCACTATGATTTGTGCGGTGGCACAGGCACCATTTTCAGGATTACGTACCTAAAGAAGGCAGTTGATCAAGATGTTTGCAACATTTTTACCATTTGTTTTCTTTCTAGTAACCTGTTGAAAAATGTAGCACTGGTGCCCTTCAGTTTGTCCAGCAGCTGTGCCCCACAAAAAAGTTACGTCTGGGGGTAAGACTTTTCAGCTTTCTCTTAGGGCTATTGGTTCCTTGATCTGCAATGGCACCTTACTCCACAGGCTGAGGAGTCAGGCGTAGCCTCTGCCTCCAGGCAGCTGTCATTATTATAACGCAGATCAGTTCCAGCAGGGGGTATGCAGGGGCATATGGGCAGTCATGGGCCTCATGCCTGAAAATGATGTGGGACCAAACACAGCTTTAGAATATTCATAGATGATGTTATATTATATAACAAATATTTGTATTTCCATCATGTGTAGCTATTTAAAAATGCAGATCGACACTATCAGAATATTAATAAAATAGCTAACATTTTAGAGCCCCTTACATGGAATAGGAACAGTTCTGAGACCTTGATATGCATTATTACTTTTGCTCCTCATGACAAGCCAAAGAGAGAGGTAACATTATTCCATTTTACTGATGAAGAAACTAAGGCAAAGAGAGAATAAAATAATTACACAAAATCACACAGACAGTGAATGACAGAGCCAAGATCTGAACTCAGAAAGTCTGACGTCAGATTTTTACATTCACCCTCAGGGCAGTGGTGACTGCCTCCTTCTTTCTGAACAAAATTCACCAGAAAACACAAGCACAAATTAAACTATTCTAGGTGGATCACACTGAGGGTCCTTGTTTGGCTATCATCCCCAAAGTATAAAACCATAACAAGGAAAGATTAATCTCTGGCCTGAAGAATGTATTTCTGAGTGTTGTCCAGGTAATTCTTACAGATGCATTCATTTCAATACCTGCCTGAAAGGAAATCTTTAAATTCTTCAAATGTCAGCTTTTAGAGAGTAGGAATTCCTGGTACTGTGCACACTGCATCCTGGGACATGCAGTTCATTTTAAGTAACTGAGGCAAGTGCCCTGATGCTCTTGAACACCTCTTTGCTCAGTTCTCAAAAGAACTTCCTACCGCTTCCACTCAGCCAGTGCAGGCAGTGGGATGATACATGATAGATGGGAACATAGAAATTTCGTGAGGAATTATGTTGACTTAAAGTTCTTGAGTCACCAGAGATTTGGTAGAAAGATATCTTACCTTCATAAGATCACCAGCTATTACTGCCTGCAAAATTGCTGTGAAAGACAAAAGAAAGATGTCCCATTAGTAGAAGACCCTTTCGTTAAAATATCACACAAAGTTGGATCCATATTTTGGACAAGTAGTCTATATTTGGGGTAGGAATTAGGGAAGGAAAATATCTTGGTCAAGCAGACTGAGGCCCTTCTCCACCCAGGTACCCATTTCATGCATCCTTCCAGAACCCATGTGTGCCCCCCTCCAGCCTTGTTACAGTAAATATTTAAAACATTGGAGTCACACATATTACAGTAAATATTTAAAACACTGGAGTCACGCATATTGGGTTCAAATGTCAACTTTAAGCAGTAGGACACTGGGCAAATCATTTAACCCCTCTGAATCTCAGTTTCCACATTTGTAAAAGAGAAAGTTTAAACTTAGTAGGCTAGTTACAAGGGTGCATGAAGTCCTGTGACTGTTCCTAACCCAGCCACGGATACAGAGTAGGTGCCTAATCACGATTGCACTTGCTTCCTTCTTCTAGTTCCTTCTACTTTGCTCTCTTGGGATTTAAGCAGTCACTAGTCCTTTTGTGTTTTATGATAAATACCTATTGCTAGGAATATTAAGAAGACTGGAGACAGCAAAGAGGAATCAAGTCTATTTTAATTGTGTTCTCGAGAAAACAACCATGTGTTTGGCAATGAATTTATTGATGATTCTTATTAAAAAAAAAAAGGCTAAAGGTAATAAGTAACTTAAACTACTTTTAAGAATATGTAGCCTTAGCAAATCACACTGCCACGTGTGTACCTATGCAACAATCTTGCATGTTCTTCACATGTACCCCAAAACCTAAAATGCAATTAAAAAAAATAAATAAATAAAAGAATATGTATCCTTAGGGAAAAAAAACAGACATATCTAATGATTCATGCATCTCATTCTCATGTGGGGTATAGAAAAGGAGTGAGAGTCTGGGTGCAGTAGCTCGAGCCTGTAATCCCAACACTTTGGGAGGTCGAGGCAGGTGGATCATTTGAGGTCAGGAGTTCAAGACCAGCTTGGCCAACATGGTGAGACCCCGTCTCTACTAAAAATACAAAAATTAGCTGGTGTGGTGGTGCACACCTGTAATACCAGCTACTTGGGAGGCTGAGGCAGGAAAATCACTTGAACCCAGGAGGCAGAGGTTGCAGTGAGCTGAGATGGGCCACCACTCTCCAGCCTGCGTGACACAGTGAGACTCTGTCTCAAAATGACTGAATGCATGAATGAATGAGAAAATATGACAAAAGAGAAAAATAACATATGAGTGTCCAATGACAATTATGGCTCCTAAAGGAAACTATTTGCATCAGGTTGGAAATGGTCCTTTTAGAGAAATAAATATCTTGATTTTATAATTACATATATATATTAAATTTTTCATTTTTATTTTAGATTCGGGGGTGCATGTGCTGGTTTGTTATAAGGATATATTGCATAATGCTGAGGTTAGAACTTCTATTGATCCCATCACCCAGAGAGTGAACATAGTACTTAACAGGAAGTTTTCAGCCTTTATCCCCATCCCCCTCTCCTTCTGGAGTTCTCAGTGTCTACTGTTCCCATCTTTATGTCCATGCGTACCCAAAGTTTAGCTCCCACTTACAAGTAAGAACATGCAATACTTGGTTTTCTGTTTCTGCATTAGTTCACTTAGGATAATGGTCTTCAGCTACACCCATGTTGTTACGAAGGACATGATTTCATTATTTTTTATATCCGTGTAGTATTCCACGGTGTATATGTACCACATTTTCTTTACCTTCTCCATTGCTGATAGGCACCTGTGTTGATTCCATGTGTCTACTATCCTAAATAATACTAAGATGAACAGTGAGTACATGTGTCTTTTTGGTAGGATGATTAATTTTCCTTTAGGTATATACCCAGTAATGGGATTGCTGGGTCGAGTGGTAGTTCTGCTTTAAGTTCTTTGAGAAACCACCAAACTGCTTTCCACAGTGGCTAAACTAATTTAAATTTCTAACAGCAGTGTATAAGCATTCCCTTTTCTCTACAGCCTCGCCAACATCTGTTATTTTTTGACTTTCAAAAAATAGATTTTAAGTCTTTAAAGTCACAAAGTTTTAGAAGAAAAACAATTTAAATGTATTTTTGCAAAGTGATATTTTATCCTTATTTGAGTAGTCTCTCATATAGAGTTAGCCAAAAGTGCTGTATCATGCATTAAATTACATGGAGTCCCCAGCTTTCACTGAGCAAAACCCCCAAAGCTTTTATATTGCATATTTATGAGTCCTGGGTGAGCAGATGCAAAGCACCATAAGCATGTGAAACTCACTCACTGGCCCTGGACTGAGTGCCTTCCCTTTGACCAAAGCTGAAGGCTTAGAAATTTACAGAAATAATGAGGGCTACTTGAGCATCGGAGGAAACAGAAGGTAGGAAGAAGAAAAGAATGGAGAAACATGGAGAACAGAGAAGAGAGAAGAAAAGCTCCTCTCCATAACAAGCTATAAGCGACATCCTCTTGGCGTTCCCCTCGGAGCCCTAGCATAATGCTTTGCACATTGTAGGTGCACACCAATTAATGTTGAACTGACTGAAAATAAAGCAAAGAGGGAAAGGAGAAGAGAGCTGAAAATGAGAGAAAGGGGATTAATAAAGTGTTATGTGTCAAAAAAAAAAACCTATGAAAACATGGTGTCTCACTCTTGCTTTTATAAATGTCCACAGTGGAGTTTAAAATAAATCTCTTGGGGTATAGTGGCCTAAATCAGCATCATAGAAGAGACCGCCATGAGAACCTCTGTCCAGTGCCCTGAGAGAGTTCACCATGCACAGAACTCTGCGAGGCTCTGCAAGGCCTACAGACAGTGAGAAAAACACTGTTGTCAGTTTTGTAATGTGAAAAGAAACTCTTAACTGGAGTCTAATTCTAATTGCTACAACTTATTGGACACATACATTTTGGAAGTTAGTCAATTGTTTTCAACCAATTCTCTCATTTGCAAATGAGGTTAACAGCTGCACTGCTCACCTCTCAGCAGGATAAAATTTTTAATGTGTTTTATAAATAGATACGTTATATAAACAGAAGGCACAGTTTTCAGTGCTTTGTGACTGCACATGAGTACATGAAAAAGACATATGAACCTTCAGAAGGAGCCTACCAATAAGGGTAAATTGGCATGTGTAGCTAAGCAGACATGTCTTGGTTAATACAGAACCCAACAGATTAGAATCACAGATAAATGAGCCAAGGATGTCTTGTTTAACCCCAAGATATAAGCCCTGCATCAAGGGATAAGGAAGGAGAGGCTGAAGAAAGTAAAGCCAGCCCTCCATATCTGCAGATTCAACCAACCTCACATCGAAAATATTCAAATAATAATAATGATACAACAATAAAAAATACTATGAATTTTTAAAAAATACAATGTAGCAACTATTTATATAGCATTTGCATTATATTAGGTATTATAAGTAATTTGGAGATGAAGTATAGAGGATGTGCATAGGTTACATGCAAATACGGAGCTATTTTAGATCAGGGACTTGAGCATATGTAGCTTTTGGTATCTGCAAGGGATCTTGGAACTAATCCTCCACAGGTATCAAGCGACAGCTGTATTAACAATTACAGCTCCCGGAGGACAAATGAGTCCGGACTTTGATACTATAGGATGTTCTCCTGATGGAAGTAGAACATCCCTAATAGGCGAGAAATAAGGTTAGGAAAGTTGCATGAGGGAGCAGTTAACGCAAAGCCTTGTATTGAACACAGAGAAGTTCAAAAGATAGCCTATGTTCTTGGCCAGGAGCAGTAGCTCATGCCTGTAATCCCAGCACTTTGGGAGGCCAAGGAGGGTGGATCACAAGGTCAGGAGTTCAAGACCAGCCTGGCCAAGTTGGTAAAACCCGATTCCTACTAAAAATACAAAAAAATTAGCTGAGCATCGTGGCAGGTGCCTGTAATTTCAGCTACTCAGGAGGCTGAGGCAGAGAATTTCTTGAACCCTGGAGGCAGAGGTTGCAGTGAGCCAATATCGCGCCACTGCACCCTAGCCTGAGTGACAGAGCAAGACTCCCTGTAAAAAAAAAAAAAAAAAACTCAAGCAAACCCAAAAAAACCATAGTCTATGTTATCAAGACTGTATCTGTATTGAAACATTTCTCAGAATTTAAAAGATAAAAAGGAGGGAGAAACACAGAAAGGAGAAAGACAGAAAAGGAAAGAAAAATAAATTAATTAACTGAAAGCATTTCTGTTATAAAATTTGGTGCATGTAAGCAACAAAGCAAGATGAAAAAACTCCCCAGGACAAAGGTTATTTAAGGATCACTAAATATATAAATTAATAAAAGTAGGACAGTCTGGCTAAAACTCTTGACTAGGTGTAAAGTTCATAGAAAGCTTTTTGAAGCAGGTGAAGTTTAAGCTGACTCTTCTATGATACATGGATTAGTTAGCAAAGAAGGTTTGAAAAATTCTTGCAAGATGAAGGAAGGATGTGAACAAAGAGATAAAGGTAAGTCATGGTGTCTGAGGGAATCTGTAAAGATCTTTGTGTTGCCACATCTGAGGTGGAGAGTAGTCTCAGGTAATGAGATCCAGAGCTTCACAGGAACAACTCCAGGGAGCAAGTCTGACACCAAGATAAGGCATTTAAATTTTATTCTCCTGGTGATTGAGAAGCTATTGAAGAGCTAAAAGCAAACCAGAGGAGCATATAATGTCCTTAAGCATGCCAATGTGAGTCCGTTTCTCCCCCTCTAGAAACAGTTAAGATCCTACCCACTCCTTTTCTCCCAATAGTGAGCATTAATAGCCTCTTTAACTTCTACCCCATATCGGTCACAAGCATTGTTATTTATATTTGTTGGTTTCCAACAGCCTCCCAGTTCAAAGTCCCCTTGAATAGTTAGAAGATCATATGACAGAATCATAAACATGAATAATTTCCAATTGTACTGGATGTGAAGAGCATGAATATTTATTTTAAGTCACACAATACACCCAAGGGTAGCTATTATGCAAACA